GTTTTCACAATTCGCCATCAAGCAATGGAGGATTAATCGTCCTTGTAAAAGATCTACAAAGTCTACTTGGTCTGGATCACTGTCAGTACGTGGACATTTCCGGAGAATCATCTGATACAAACATGGAGAAACTGGTGCGGGGATTGCTTAGGCGCTTTTATTTATTGTCTGGTCGAAAGCTTGAAGGCTTCAAGTTATATAGGGACGGAACTAAAGCCTAGTCGAACGACAACCATCAGTAAGGATTATCGATGCCACTAATTAAATCGCAGATGGATACCATGACGGTGAAAATAGTTCAAGATCAACGGAGGAAGTGGAGATGATTTCCGACCCCGGATACTAAGGCTTAGTCTTACTAAGCCGCCATGTAGAAGGGGTCAGTTAAAGGAATACAAAGTACTAAGAGGGTGGAGGGAAGTCCCTCTAAATCTAATCTCCACTAGTATCTTTATGGCAGATTGAAGATGCAGGCCCTAATAGGCTATTCCTGTGTCCTTGCCGCTTAATGGAGTACACATGGTGTTCATCAATTTCTGGACTTCATTATATGGTGCATCACTGATGATTCTGGGGCGCTTCGGGCTCCCAATATGGGCCGATAGTGAGTTCCTTGAATTTGTCCCTGTCCCTGTCCCTGTCCCTGACTCTCCTGCCATATCTTCTGCTGTTCCTCTACTGGTAGTGGGTTGTTCATGCATACGGGTGCAATATGGCCTGGTTAACCACATCTATAGCATCGCCTCTGATTGAGTCCTTAAGGCTGCGGCTGTTGCTGTGGACGGTTTATGGGTTAATGGTGCTGCTAACCTGCAGACAAATCAAATTTTACAAGTTGCTCCGCCAGTGTCCTAATTATCTGATTCTGGTTATTCAATATGTCTGCAAATAGTTCGCCAAGCGTAAAACAGCGACATTCTCAGCAATTCAGTCAGTCTGGTCATCCTTGCAAGCACGCGCCATGCGGATTAGTTCGTCTAACTTGACTGCTTTCGAAGTTGCTTTCTGTGTCTGGATGTAGGCGCTAAGGACCTTCTGGGTCATAGGGTCTGCTATCCCTTTTGTAAATATAGACGCGATTATTTGATCCCGGTCATCAGGTATGGCTATGGCTAATTCCTGAACTTCATTAATATATTCTTGAAGGCTCCTCTGCCCCTGGTATAACTCCAAAAACTTTATAATTACATCTTAAATCTAGTCTCCTGGTTCCTGCTCTGGAAACTGGGTCCATAAATGCTTAGCTAGCTTCTTCTAGTCCTGTCTATCTGTCATGAGCAAGGTTCATCCAAACCTTAATGCAGCGTCATGCAATCTAGTGAACAAAGAAGTAGTAATAGCTTATTTTCTATTAGTTGCCTCTATCTGAACTCTAGCCCACATGAAATGGCACTGATTGATGTATAAGTCGACATCCTCTTCCAGTTTCCCAGAGAAGATTGGTTGATTCACTGACATGACTGAATACAGCTGTCTTGTCACAGTTAGTAAAGGAGCCTCTTGAGATGCTGATGGTGATAAGATGTCTTGTGGTGATAAAGGCAAAGGAATATTTTCTGGCTCCCCCTGACTAGGGGTTGATGACGACGTGGGTGAATAAATAGTGGTGGTGTTAGTATTATGGATCCAGTCCAGGATGCTATCTTCCTGTTCCTCTTAATAGGAGAGGTGATGTAGATGTATCTGCTCTTAGGCTAACCCTGGAATAGAAACTAAGTTAGTAATTAATGCCTGAGGTTCTTTAAGATCACTCTTGGGCGCCTACTATGCCAGTCACCACCCTAGGTAAATAGATGATAACAGGTCCGTATTGGCAAATCAACGGAATGGTGGGGTAGTTTTGGATAAGATTCTGATGACTCAAGTAAGGAAACTAATGGAATGATTCTAGTTGGTTAGTAGCTAATGAAAATACAACTCTAACACAGAATAGAGGCGGCTCTACACAGATCTAACCCTAACCATGCAGGATCTGCAGCTAAATGAGAATGAAAACAAACATGACATGGGAAAATGCCTGGATTTGATTCTGAGGCCCAGCACTGGTCACCAAAATGCAATGGTTTTATTAAAAATGATGTAATTGCTTCGTATCTTGATGGTTCTTATTGTGGATGGTTGGATACGTACAGAAAGAAGAGGAAACAGAAAGGAAGTCATGTAAAGCAGAGGCAGTCATGCTGAGTCAGTGCAGTTTGCCTTGTTTGCATCCTCATTTATTATGACAATCTTTTCCCTCAGCACACCCAAAACATGTCAATACCCCATTAACATTTGAGATGTAATCATCTGTTCACTATTGTCAATAGCCATACTAGTACTGGTGTTTGATATAGAGACTAACTTGTATTAATTGAAGTAGGGTTATAGTCTCTTGCACTAACTTTACACCAGGCAGACATTATAGTATCAGTCATTCCTATCCATATACAGTTCTGTGAAAATTGACCACTGTAGATACATGTTAGCAAGAGAGATTAAGTTAAGAAATATAGTAAAAGAAGAAGTAGGTAACTGGGTGAAGAGGGAGTAAAGTGGTATAGAGATATAATTATAGATAGTAAAGAAGAGCCCTTACTTAAGCCGGCCAACAAGGTTGCCATGATCATTGGCAAAACAACCATCCACAAAGATCTGAGTAGGCACAGACTTTCCAGAAAAGTCTTTACAATAGGCACCAAAGCCTAGAGGCGTATCAAAATAATATAAAATATCTGTGCAAGTATCTTTGAAGCCAGAGTCTGCAATAACATTGAGAGCAAAGTAGCTCAAAGCTGAAAAAGCAAGGATTAGCAAATTAATAAAGTACATAGTATAGGTTAAAAGAAACCAAAAAGTCTTGTTAGTAGTTAGTTAATACAGATGAAGTAGTTGAATATTATTTTAAAGGGGGGAATGCAGTGTCCTTTATAGGATTAAAGTTAAAGCTAATTTAGAAAACTAACTTATTGGTATATAACTATATATAGTGATTGGCTTGTCTAGTAGCTTTATTACTTTGTACTATATTTTTGCACTGTATTAATAACATACAGCAGAAAAGCCCTAAAAAGGCATAGTCTAAAGGTAAAATTCAAAAATCAAATTACTGCATCCTTCCTTATGTTGCTAGGAGCCTAGGGGCATGTAGTTCAGCAAGGTCTCGGCCCCTTGGGAAAGTTCAACAAGGTCTCGGGGAGTCGGGGGATGTAGGGCAAGTTGGCAACCTTGTTTCTAATATATTAGCTTAGCAAGGCCTCAAATTAGATCCATATATTTTAACCTTATTTAACTTTTATTAGGTTTGTATTTAACACCCGCTTACAATCTATAGACTAGGTGTAATATACTTAGAAAAATCATCATATAGTAGGAAATAGGGATTCAAATTGTCATATAGTAGAGGTATCAATACTACCATGCTTAGAGATATATATTTTAATTTTAATCCCTACTATATGATGATTTTTCTAAGTATATTACACCTAGTCTATAGAAGCAGCCTAAGCAGGTGTTAAATACAAACCTAATAAAAGTTGAATAAGGTTAAAAACTTTAAATATATAGATCTAGTTAATTAGAGGCCTTGCTGAGCTAATATATTAGAAACAAGGTTGCCCTACATCCCCCGAGACCTTGTCGAACTTGAACCCATCTTTCTAGCAAGGGATCTGTCAACTCACAGGCTATGCCCAGCGCCAGTAAGCCAACCTGGCAGCAAATGGCAAAAATGACGCAAGTAATTTACTCTGCTAGTGCCAGAGTCCTTGCTCTAGTAGTGTAAGACATAGTGTTCTAGGCAGCTACTATCCACAATACCAAAAGGTAACAATGGTGATTCCATAGGGAATCACCAGGCCTAGAACATGCTTATAAGCCTCACCGAGGCAGTGACCCTACCTAGGCCGCAGCCCCATGACAAGTAGGAATAAGGCCAGCAGGTTATTAATTAGAATGAGGGAAAACTAGCTATAGGGGAGGATTTAAGTTGTGAAGTATGGCACAGACAGGTAGGGAAATCTTGGCTTCACCCAGCTATGATGTTTTTGGGGGCTTTATTAAATTATTATCTCCTCTTTCAGAGACCACACAGGCCCATTAAGGAGTTGCACCATTACCTCTTCCATCACCTTGATCACTTGTCTCAATAATGTACTCTTTTCCATCAGGCCTTGGCCCATGCTGACCTTCATCAAGATAGACAAGCGCGCGCTGGGGGTCCCAGACCCTTTAAGCTAAACCAACACATGTACAGCAAGCCAGCCAGCCAGCCCCCTGAACACCAATCTACGCGATAATCAATGCATGGGGACCTCACTGGACTCTGAAATCTGGCCTTCCTACCCATGAGAGCCATCTCCACGCGGTCAAATACGTCTTACCTCTTGTTTTGATCAACAGCTCACATTGGGAGCCTGTGCGTTGGTTGCCGCCAATCAAAGGCCCTGGCAGCCTGGGATCTTCAGGACCCACCCCACCAATCAGAGGTGCTGACTCCAGGACCTCTGAGATTTGGCCGCTGGCACGCCCAGCCTGAACCATTTGCTGACGACGACCCTTCAGGCAGAGCGGTCACCTGACTGGATTAGGGCTCTGTCCCCCGCCTCCCAGACTACTTGTGGTCCGTGGACCTTGCTCCAGCATCACTTACTATTATATACTTTGACTACATACTATCTCATACTTTCCACTGGGGCCCAGCTGTTATATCTTATGATATTATGGCTTAGTGGCTGGCCCTAGCAGCTGGTGATGACTCTTTCATTGCTGATTATTCCTTTTATTTTATAGTACACTGTATGGATTCAGGCTCACCCTGCCAGCTTGTTTATGCCTAAGGCATCATATATTTACGAGACTAGTGTTTCAAAATCAGGGGTTGTTCCATTGTTAATGTGGTCCTTCAGAAACGAAGCTGTACTTGCTTGAAAGACCATCCCGCTAATCTACAACCTGCACTTCATTTCGTTCTACAACCTACTCTCCCTCTTCCAAGAGACCTGCAGTGGTGGGCGAGAGCCATGGCTTCCACCATTCCTTTTATTCTCGACGTCCCGACGTTACTCTGCATCGGCTTTGCTCTATCGTTCATGCCTATCGCCTATCTGCTTAGCAGATCACTGATACCGTCTTCTCAAACGCGCAACCGGATACTCTTTTACTGGCACGCCTACGATGCCCTGACCCACGTCTTCATCGAAGGATCGTTCCTGTACGAGTGCTTCTATAGCTACGCAACACTCCCTGCCGGAGTCAGCAAAGAGCCATACTTCCTAGGCTACAAGGACCGCGTATACGGCGCAGCCTACGGAACGGGACCAAGCGCTCGACTATGGCAGGAATACGCGAAAGCAGACCGTCGCTGGGCCGTCGCAGACGCTCCCACCATCTCTATTGAGCTGTTGACTGTATTTTTTGGCGGCCCGGCTGCCGTGTATGTGTGCTACTTGCTCTGGAAAGCATCGGGCAGCCGGTCGACTGCGTCGGCAAAGGGCGCAGCTAAGGCGAGATTGTGGCTTGTTGCGCCCGCGCTGGCGACGGCTGAGCTGTACGGGGGGTTTATGACGTTTGCGCCTGAATGGCTGACTGGGAGTTCCCAGCTGGATACCAGCAATCCTGTGTACCTCTGGTTTTACCTCTTCTTCTTGAACACCTTGTGGGTGTGGATTCCGCTCTGGGTGCTCTGGGAGGCGGCGAAAGAACTGCGAGCAGCTTTTGTGACGGCAGAGAAAGCTGGTGAGGGCCGGAAGACCAGGTGAACGGCTCCTTTAATCTTGGACAAATGCAAGGAATAAGGAGTACACGAGCAGCAATGAGACGAAGGACATAATCTTGATGCTTATTTGGTACATATATCCAGAAATAGCCACCCTATCTACGGTTTCAGGGTCGCAATAGACTCACCCTAGTTCTTAATGACACGTTCGACGTTGATTCTACAACGATACTATCTAGCTATGGCGGGCTCTATGTAAGCTGTTTTGTCCCATTTGCGACCTGTGATCTGGAAAGAGCCCGCTAGGCCTGTACCTGGGCATGGTATAGTCCCGAAAATTTTGATTCTCGCGCAAGCAACGCCGCGGGCGAGTGCAACTCGACGATTCTGCCCGCATCCACCAGCGCCACCAGGTCATACCGTTCGACGTGCTGGAGCTGGTGCATGACGTTCGTGCTTGGACTAGATAAGAGTCTGGTATTCTCTTGGATCACCTCACTCTCTTGGGGCTTGATTCGACCCCTGCAAGGAATTGTAGCCACGGTGGTATTACAAGAGACCGGGTCGATGCAACCAAAGAGCAAGGGTCCAAGGCGTGAAGCACCTCAGGATGCAGGACTATAGGCAATTTCTCACTTATACATCTCCAATCTTGGAAGCCTTGAATGGTGTATTATGCCTAAGGCAGTAAAATCACCGGTTATCATCTGGCTGTAGCTAGTCTGCCAACGGCCAGTGGTAACGCCATTGATTGCTGGCGCATCCTCCTTATCTCCTCCCTCGTGTTCTTCCTCGTGGACTTTTGGTTTCCACCCACTGTGCCTGCGCAAACGAACATCTTCGAAAATATGATCTGTCGACGATACAAAGCGGACTGTACGAGCCAAGTAGCGGCAGTCAATGGCTGGAAGGAACATTTCCATCCCCGTCTCATGTATCAGGGGATTGCTGAGTTGATCATCGGTCAAACAGATTGACTCCATATTCATGTGATTAAATAATCTATCGCCCCTCTAGAGAGGTAATCGAACAGCCAAGGAAGTCTACGTCCTTCAGGCGTACAGATTCAGCCCTATATGGCTGGTTTGTGGAAAAGGCCCACCTGACTAAGAGGCTCAGAGGCTCAGCCTTGCCTGCGCCACATTACTGCCTTGGTGCCATGGTTCTCAGGCAAATTCTAAAGCACAGCCGAGATATATGACGAAGATGTACTCCGTAGACAGGTACTAATTTCATCATTATAAGTTGACCATCGTCCCTCATTCTCTTTACTTTGTCAAATCATTCAGATTTCTTAGCAAACAGTTCACAAACCAAGAGAAATCCGACTATGTCATACAACCAATACCCCCCTCCAAATCGTATGCCCCCGCATCCCACCAGAATTCTGCTGCCTATTATAGCTGGATAGACTGAGCTGACTTCTCTGCAGAACCACCCTATCGTCCGTACGGAGCTCCTCAAGGCTTTTCACAACCGCCCTACCCACAGCAACCGGGTTACGGCGGTCCACCCCCTCCCCAGGGCCACTATAATCGACCACCTCCGCCTGCCCCGTCGCCAGGCGGATATCCTCCGGCTCCCGGACCAGGATATCCCCATTCGTCATCACCTCAGCCTCCATATGGCGCTCCTTCGCAACCTCCGTACCCTCCACAAGGCGGTCCTGGATACCCTCCGCCTGCGGGCGGATATCCCCAACCCGGACCCTATGGCGCTCCGCCGTTAGGAGGGAGCGGCTATCCAGCACCACCCCCGCAACAGTTCCAATGGCCCCCTGCCATGCCTTCTCTGGGTTACGTGCCTGGTCAAATGGCACCGGGCGACTTCCGCCGCGAAGCAGACCTCCTCCGCAAAGCGATGAAAGGGTTCGGAACCGACGAGAAGACGCTCATCCAGGTCTTGTCCAAACTCGACCCCCTGCAAATGGCTGCCGTCCGGTCCACCTACACCAACCATCTCCACCGCGACCTCTACAAGGACGTCAAGTCCGAAACCAGCAGCTACTTCCGCCAAGCCCTGCTCGCCATCATTGACGGACCGCTTCTGCACGACGTGCAGTCCGCCCGCGAAGCAGTCCAAGGCCTCGGTACAAAGGAGTGGCTCCTGAACGACGTCCTCCTGGGCCGCTCAAACGCGGACCTCAACGCCATCAAGTCCGCCTACGAGCACACCTTCCATCGCTCCCTCCAAAAGGACGTCGAGGCCGATCTCTCCTTCAAAACCCTGTCCCTCTTCTCCCTCGTCCTCCGCGCAGACCGCCACGAAGCCTCCTACCCGATCAACCCCCAGCTCATCGAGCAGGAAGCCCGCGCCATCCACGCCGCAACCAGCGGCCGCGTCGTCAACAACGTCGAAGAAGTCTGCGGGATCTTTGCCCGCGCATCGGACCCCGAGCTCCGCGCCATCAGCCAGGCCTTCGGCGCTCGGTACAATTCGTCGCTGGAGAACCACATCGAGAAGGAATTCTCCGGCCACATGAAAGACGCGCTGCTGCATATGCTCCGCACCGCGCTGGACCCGGCTGTGCGGGACGCGGACCTGCTCGAGGACTGCATGAAGGGGATGGGCACCAAGGACGAGAAGCTGGTTGTGCGGGTCGTGCGCTTACACTGGAACAGACAGCATCTGGACCAAGTCAAGCGCGCGTACCACCATCGGTACAAGAAAGATCTTATCGCCAGAGTCCGCGGAGAAACTAGCGGGGATTATCAGAGGTTAATGGTTGCGTTGCTCGAGTGATTATGGTTTTTCTCCAATTCTTTCCCTGTCGTTCTAATGTTTATTACTGGGTGGATTCTTGCTTTTGTTGCCACGCCATGCTGGCCTACTCCTTTGCTGTGATACCACGATGTTATATCTTACGGCTTGATGTCTTTTGGTGGTTACAGCCCCGCCATGGCTGAGATATGATATGACTGAGCAACCGGATCGTTGCTCAACGTTTGACGAAATAAAGATAGTTTAGCTAGAGAGAAAACCATGAACACTACTTGATGAAATGCAACAGCTTGCATAAACTTCCATGTTTTCGTCGCATTATGTTCACAATACACATCACACATCAGTCGTAAGTCATGTCCCATGCAATACTCGAATAAGCAGATCATACACGCCATATCCATGACAAAACGCACAAACTAAACGATCTCCCCAACGACAGTAACATGCGATCCGGGAAACAGCCCCGTCCGACCAGCATAGCAGCCCCAAAACCAATCGTCGTTGATGTTCTCAACCTCGGTAATCTCCGCCCCGCGCGGAAACATCAGTTCATCCTGAACATCGTCCTCGGGATACCAGGACCAGAGAGCATGGACGATGAGGCCGATTCCACCGTCGGGTGGGAAGCGGCGCAGGAACGGTGGTGAATGGGAACTGGTGGTCGTGGCTGTTTCGGAGTTGGGGCCCGAGCCCGAGCCGCTGCCACCAGCGGCACTGATGGGAAATGAGTTGCTGCGGTCATTGTTGGTGGTTGTCCAGGAAGTTCGCACGCGGGAGGCTTTCTTTCGTCGCTCAGATCCTTCCTTCCAGCTCCAGTCGCCGGATCCGACTTCAGGTGATGGGACGGCCGCTGCGTGTTCGTCTTTGAGGGCGCGGCCGCCGACGAGATCGCGCACGACGACCCTCCTCTGGCCTTCGTCGTGGTTTTCGAAGCCGACAACAACCATGCGGTGGCCTTTGACACAACGACGCCAACCATTGTGACCGTTTTCTTTGCTGATTTTGCCTGTGGCGACGAGTTTTAGGTAGCAATTTGCGCAGACGTCGTAGTCGCCCTCGTTGCATTCGAGACAATGGAACCTCGTAGCTGATGCTGGGATGGGGTATGTACAGATGTCACACTTGGTTGAGAAAGAGAGGATTCTGTATATCTCGTTTCCGTTATCGGCCGAAGTAGAAGAATTGGATGGATTGTTAGGTCCGTCAGTCGAGTCACCGCCGGTCGGTACTGGTACGCTCGAGCGATCTCCCGGCGCAAGTCGACAGATAGGTAGAAGCGCGTGCGTGCAGCATCGTCCTTGGTTAACACATTTATTGCAGAAGCCCCAGTCCCCCTCGTTGCATTCGTTGCATTTCCAGTAGCATTTGTTTGCCACAGCGTGGCAGATGCCACAGAAGAGTCCCGTTTGCAACCTCTGGGCTGGATCGTCGCTAGTCATCTCCGTTCCCCCGCTTGTTGTGCGATGGACATTATCAGAGGGTCGTGAATATCTGGAAAATTGCAAGACATGCGCTATCTCCCGCGACGGTATAGCCCGACCGGTCGAGGAGGCAAGCATTCGGTCGAAATTCGCTTCTGCAGACGGACCAAAACCCGCCCATTGCAAACAGCCGCGGCCGAGGCGATAGCACCGCAAGCATAGATGGAAGCTTCCATCTTTGCATTGTAGACATTTTTTGTGAAGCTCATATTGGATATTCTGCTTGCCACACCGGTCGCAAGAGATGGAAGGTTCGGTGAAAGTCGGTAAAGGACGTTGAGAGGCTTGGGATCGAGAAGACGAAGGTCGAGAGCGTTGGTTGGCAGGACTGCTTACGGCCGGTGCTAGAGAACTACAAACAGATGAACTGGCCGTAGTCTGTTCTAAGCGCGCAGAAAAAGAATCATTTGGTGTGCTCGGTGAAGTGACTGACGCAGGCGAGATATTCAGTGGTCTGCCCGAGACGTGTTGCCGGTGATCGCGGTTCCTGGCTTCCGGGGCGAATATGTTGGGGACGTTCTGCTCCAACGCTGTTGCCCGTCGAGGCCTCGGAGCAGCCGACAATTCGGCGGCGCGAGCTCGGGAGGACTGAGAAGGACGAGGGCGATCCGAAGCTATATCACTAGACGACCTCGCAGCAGGTCGCAATGTGACTTCTGATGTGGACGCCGAATTGGCAGGAGCCGGCGACGTCCTCCTCCTCCGAGTCCCCTGATCCGAAAGACGCCGCTGATGATTAGAAGCGTCCGAGCGCGAGACAAGCGGCTCCAGCAGATACGGCCTTGACACGGGTGGATTCCTCGAGGATGTCTGAGGAGCGGACACCGTCGGTGGTCTCGGCACGGATTGCGACCTCGCGCGCGGTCGCGGCGACGTCTGTGAAGCCTCATTCGCCTCTTGTCTCTGGCGTGAGCGCGGCCGTCGCATGTGTCGTCGGCGATAAGCATCGGCGATGCGCTCAGTTAACTCCTCTTCCTGGGCCGGCCCAAGATTGTCCAGGTCGATATCATTCAGCAGTCCGTCTTCGATGATCTGTCGCAGGATCTCCTCTTCCATTGTTTCGGTATCGGACAAGCTAAGCAGCGATCGCAGACTGGACTGATGCTCAATCCGCCTCGTTCTCTCCGAGTTAACCTCTGTACGGGCCGCAGGCTGTCGGCGCAGCACACGCTCCTCCTCACGCCGTCGTCTCGAGCGACCATCCGCTCTCTGTCCATCAGCATCAACGCTCTCAGCTCGCCTGCTTCTTGAAGATTGTCCTGTCCCCGTCCTGCTCTCTCGCAAACTCAATTCACGAACCTCCTCCAGCAACCGTCGATCTTCGGCGTCCGACACGGTACTATCTTGCCCCGGAGACGAAAGCGCAGGAAACACCGACTCGCCATGCTTGTATTTCTGAGCAATCTCCTCCTTTTCCTCAGCTGACTTGACGCGCTCAGGATTGGCTGCTAGAACCATGTCCAACAGCGTAGTAACGGTGGCATTGGGTCGTGTTTCGCGCACTACGGCCCGACATGCTGGGCAGGTGAATTGCGGGGTGGATGAGGACGGCCGACGGCGGGATGCTTGAGTAGCAAACCATTCCTTCAAACAGGAACCGCAGAAGGTGTGCAGGCAGTTAAGGAGGGTGAGAGGTTGGTAGAGCAGTTCTGTACAGATCTATGGTGGTTGTTCCGGGATCAGTCAGTGAGAGGTCACATAAGTAATTTGAGAGGTCGTCCATATTGAGCCGTCAAATACTATCTGCTTATCCACCGCCAACACGAGGCCGACGATCGAAAGGAAGGGGGTTGACGTTGTGGTCCTCGTGGATATCCCACCCGTCGATAAGATCCGATCAAATGACGCAAGAAGCAGCATGGTTATGCAGAGTACATACCGAGCAAGTCAGTTCTTTCTCGAGGTCCAGCAAATTAGGACCCCCGCGAGACTCGTTTGACATGAGAGACGAGGAAGGAGAGCACCCCAAATCTGTTCTGCAATATATGGAGAGATCGGTAGCGGACCGATCGATTACTATTATTGATGAGGGGAAAGTAAACAGTCGGGCTGGATGCGATGGTGCGTCCCGTGGATCTGGGCGAGTGAAGGCCCCACTGAAGGGAAGAAGAGATCTTGGATGGTGTACGCTATTCTTAGAACTCATACGAAGGATTCATTCTCGAAACCATGTCTTGCTCTCAAAAGTCAATAGATTTGTATGCGAAGTTGAAATTACTTATGCCATGAATTCAGATCATGCTACGCTCATCATCCATGAATTAACATCCAACTCCACTTTCATACACCGCAAACTTGGTTGTAAGAAAATTGACAAACAAGACAATAAGCTCACTCTTGTCCATGCTTTGCTTTCTCCCAGAACCAACGGTACATACCCTTCCATTCTGTCGTCTCGTCCTCCACGTAATCTCTCACCAACTCTGCGGTCGCGTTAGTATCAGACCACGGCCCATCAGAGCTAACGCGGTATCCAGTTGAGGCATCCACACCGGAAGACCCAGCATTCGAGGCTGTATCCACAGAGACATGATCCGGATGATGATGATGATGGAGTATCTCCTCGACACCTTCCTTAGCTTTCTCAGCCAGATCCCGCGCGCCCTCTCGGGCGGCTTCAGCGAATTCCTCGGCCTGTTCGCGCGCGCGTTGGATCAGCTCTTCAGGCGTAGGATATCTCCTCAAGATAATAAGAAGAAGATAGTAGCTCTGCACGATGAGTGAATAGACTGCATCCTTTGCTAGCATGGTGAAGCCATGCGAGAAGAAACCCTTGAGAACTTCCCCGGGGAGGCCCGCATACAGCGCAGATACACCCTCGTTGCGTGCAATGGCCAGCACATCCGTAATGATCTCAGGGGCGAAGGAAATCCCGTCCTCGGAGACCCTCTTACTGCTCGGTTTCTCCCCATTTCCCAAGCTATCGACCTGCGCTCTTGTCTTGGCCATGGAAAACGGGTACGTGATCGACGATGCAGCGGACTTGCTGATGGCAGCTAAAAGGAACGTCGTCGCTGGCGACGGCCTTCCCCGCTTATTCCGCGCCAACAGGGCATACTTCAAGACCCCATTCAGGAAAAAAGTGATCGACGGATTCAGCGTGAGAATGAGCGACGCCGAATACCCAGACCAGAACCCCCTCAGCCCCTTCTCAGACTTGATCCGCGCAGCTATATCCTTCGTCGAGAGAGCTTTTTTGCCGGATGCCGCTTGCTTCCTCGCCACGATATTAGCGAGCGGTGTGGTAAAGAGCTTCGCAAACGCGCCGGCCAGCACACCGATCGCCAACTCATCCAGAATCGGAAGAACGACATGCTTCGACCGCCGCCCATCGCCATACCGAGCCCTGATCCTCCGCTGCCGGAAAAAACCATACGCAAGGAAAAAGAGAAACGAGTCCGCAACTGTCTTGGCCGTATCCTGCGCAAGGCCTGTGTAGAAACTCCCCAGGCCCTCTTTGGCGTAAATCTTGCGTGCTGCGTCAAGCACATCGGTGTACTCCTCTTCTTCGTCTTCCTCTTCTGCGTCCTCGGAATCCGCCTTGTTCTTTTTCTTCGTCCTCCGCTGCGCCTGCGTCTGCAGTCGAGTCACAATCAGACTGAGCGGGTACGTGACAACGTTGGATATAGCCGCTCCCACAGCCCCAGCGACTGCATTGCCCACGGCAGGCAGAGCGGGACCACGCAGTGCAGCTCTCTTCCAGTCCTTTTCCGGCGGGGGATTATCATATCTATAGTACAGTTGATACGAGTCCTATCCAGTGCCACCCGAGTCAGTAACCCTCTCGTGCTGTCAAAAGATCTGAATTCCGGGTCTCATAGAACAACAGACGTACCAGTTCAGACTCGTAGGTAACTTTATACTCTGACATTTTAGCAGTTAAAAGCCAAAAGGGGTTATCAATCAAATATGAGAAGGACAGAATCGGTGGGCGTCAGAAATATCGACCACATGTGATAGCAACTATGGCCTCCTGGATATGTACTGTGTAGTGCAGGCCCGATTGACAACGTCAGGTCCCGCAGTGCCCATCAACGAAGCAGGAATTGGACCTCTCCGATTTATGCAGCCACAACAAGTCGGAGCCGTCATAGCCTGATTACTCTTGCGAAAAACCGAGGTCCAGCAGAGCAATGTGGAGGAAGCGAAGGGCGGATAACGTCATGCGCACGTGTTGGTCCGTGCACGATACAGCGGTCGCAGATTACTCAATGTGATCTGTCTTGATGGCATGCGATACTACGACTTACAGAATCAGGGACAATTCATCCTCAGTAAAATTAATTGTATTCACTAGCTCCAAAGAGCAAGGAATGCACAATTCACTGCAGTTTAAAAAAGACCCAAACCAGCCGATCCTCCAAGCCCATATGATAAAACCAGCAGAAGATTGTCAAGATCAAACGGCCCATTCCAAACCCCATTGAAACCCCATAATAAACCTCAAAAGATCCAGAAAAACATCACAGCATAAACGCATTAAGGTCAATATACAAGTCTCCGGGCTTTCCACCGTCAACCGGTCACCAAGCACTCAACCACACACAGCAAGCGGTCCGAGAAGCCAGGTGAATTGGAGCCGGGACTCGGGACTCGATGTGATGACGAATAGCAAAGCGTAAACGTTTAACCACCGAAACCGTAGAGGGTACGGCCCTGGCGCTTGAGGGCATAGACGACATCGAGCGAGGTGACGGTCTTGCGCTTGGCGTGTTCGGTGTAGGTGACGGCATCACGGATAACCGACTCGAGGAAGGACTTGAGGACACCACGGGTCTCCTCGTAGATCATGGCGGAGATACGCTTGACACCACCACGACGGGCGAGACGGCGGATAGCGGGCTTGGTAATACCCTGGATGTTGTCACGCAAGATCTTGCGGTGACGCTTGGCGCCACCCTTGCCGAGACCCTTGCCTCCTTTGCCGCCTGTAGGACATGATTGTTAGTCACTATGGTCTTAATAGAAGATAGAGATAGCGAATGGCTGTCAATGTGGAGGTGAGCTAGAGATAGGGGAGGACTGCACAGATGACGCGTTGGCCTGAGGCAGTGACAAGATGTCACGTGCATCCCCGCGTATCATCATTACCCATCTCAACCGGAAGCCATCAACAACCAAGAATGATAAAGAGGCGACGGAAAATAAAAATATCAAGTTTAATACTTACGTCCAGTCATATTGTAAAATAAAATTCAAAGATAAGATGATAAGAAAATAGATGGAAAATTGATGAAAACGACCCGCGAAGTTGATGAGAGATGTGGCGCGTCGTTGGCTAGATTGAGTAGTAGTAAAAGGGAAGAAAAAGAGAGCAAGGTAAGAAGCAGGGGCGAAGGAGGCGTATTCTTAAATAGGTCTTCGGGGCGGTCAGCAAGCAACAGCGTGATTTTTCGCGGTCTCAGTGAATGACTAAGCCCAGGGGTTGATCTGGAAGGGTCAAAAAGCAATGAGACGAGATGATTGGCGGGTGGCGGATGGGAAAAAGGGCGTTATGAACGGCTGCTTTCAAGCCCATGTTTCTGCCGTTGGTTTTTGGCGCATTTTTGCCGCTGTGAACCAGCAACGTGGGCGCATCAGGCGGGTAAGATCACGTGATGGCTTGGCGGCACACTTAATCACCAACGTCAAGTTTCTCACAAGGTAAGTTGTACGACGGGGAAAAGTATGGATATGCGTAGTCAATGCTCATTATGGATTCTGTCTGTTCCTGAATCAAGTCATCTCTTGCGATTACTCCCTCATAGTCCAATCAAGAGTTCGACCCAACAATCACTCCAGGACCGAGCCTCTCTGGGGTTCTACCTTCCGACACCAGCCACTCCTAATCATGTCGGGGGCAATCCTTCTCTCATATCTCTGACCCAAGCAACGCGGTCGAAAAATCCATTCGATTTAAGAATATCAAAATAACTGTTGGACAGCGACCTTGAAGAGAGTCAACAGACTTTCGACAGAGGGACATCTTCAGCGAAGTTACGTAACGATAGAACATACCGTCAGCAGCTAGACACGCTCAGGTTTTCGTCAACTACAAGGCTACAAGATTAAAGGCTTGAATCAGAAGTAATAACCGTGTGTTGAATGTATTGAGAATTGTCGTTGCCTCCACATATCATACCAGAACTACCCACATGTGGCAGACAATACAAGAAAGGCATTGTTACCCGCCCGGAGAACCGTAGCAAAGGCGGCAAAATATAGCACAAGACCCCAAACTCCATGCAGAAACTCAACTAAAGTTGAGCAATGTTCAAAACCAACAGCGTAAACTGTGTGGAAACTTTTCCTGATTGCAAATGCATCATCTCATAGAATGCTGTCAAGCAGACTACCAGACTACTATGCAGGAACAAACGCAAAGAAAATTCGTATCATCATACTCGTGAAACAAATCAAGACTGAAATCAAAAAGACCACACTGAGCACAATCATGCATGAACATAACTTGCTTTCCACCATAATCATTTCTTCGTGGAAAAAAGGAAAATATGCAAGTACAAGGCTTTCCCCGCGGTTTATGGTACATCGCAAAGGGAAAGGCCTCAATACTTGACATGAGCATCAGAGTAAAGGAAAGCGAAAATGAGTATTAAAACCAGGTTAACAAGCCATAACTGGTATACGCGATGGCGACAATAGGTCCCCTGTTAATTCAGCAAACAGCTGATTGGGTAGAGAAATGATAGGTTGAGGGAGGGTCGACGAATGTATCCCTCGAATAAATCGTGTCAAGAGTGGGTATCAGAGCACTGTGCGACCTTCAACCATAGTGTGAGAAGGGGTACACGTCTGACGGTGAGGATGGACCCAATTTTTTGTTTATCGGTAGTCATGGGAGAGCAAACTCACCCTCTGATGACTGCCGGCGTCTGAGTCTCTTTCAAGAAGCTGCTCTGCATGTGAGGGTGATGAGCATAGTCGAAACGGGTTGGCGATGATGAAGCTGCACGGGGGCTTGAGCTGACGGGGCTAGCAGACGACGAGCGGCTATTCCCATAGTCGATGCCCAAGATCTCAGTCGCACGCGGTGAGAGAGGAGGCGACAAGGATTGTGCGGGGGAGGTGCTGGATGTGCTCGAAGAATCGGGATGCGAAATCCCATTGTTAAGCGAGTCGTTGGTGCCACTAGAGCCTTTCGAGGAACCATAGAAACAGAACTTGTCGACCAGTTCTTTGTACACAGATGAATCATGGTGAGGTTTGCTGGACAAGAGGGACGAGGGCTTGACGTGTTCCGAGTGTGCAACTTGCGAGCTGATCTCGCTGACTGCAGACGCCTTCTTGACATGTAGACCTTCCGTCAGGACAGGGTCGCCGTTCACAGGGTCAGACTTGGTAGTGTCGAACTTTGCTCGAGCGGTCAGAGTCGTGCGATCATGAGTTGGCTTGGTCCGCATGACGGCGGACAAGGAGGCCCCAAAATCATAGCGATTGCCGAACGCTTGTCGCGCTTGCTTCTCGCGGGCAGCAGACATTCTGTGAACCTCCTTCAACAGATCCTCGGATGAAGATTCTTCTTTCAATGTCTTCTTGGGACGACCAAAGGATAGATAATCGTTCATATCCTCATCAAAATCATCGAGCGAGGACGGCATCGAAGAAAGACGGCTGTTGACGCCGGCAAAGCTCTTGCTGCGAGGAAGAGCTGGGCGCGAGCCTGCGGCGGACGGGCTTCGCGGCTCAGGTCGTGGCCGGGGGATACGAACGAAGTTGACTTGGTAATTCATAAAGTTGTTGTTGTCCCAGAATTCCTGCCCAGCCACGCTATAGCGGATGCAGACAAACATAGTTTTCTGTTCCAAGTTTGCATGGTCAGTGAGCTTGATGCTGAAGGTAAACCGGTCATAGCCGTCATGAGCTTGCTTCCGACGGACATCGTCACTGTATTCCGCGGTAACTTCAGAGACGGTCTTCCAGTGATCGAAGGTGAAGCGAGCCGCAACGTGCTTGTGAAAAGCCAAATTGGCAACCGCCACCACGCCAACCAATGTATCCTTGTCCGATGATAGAAATAGCCGTTCAAGTCGCACCTTTTGAAGAGCTCGAGAGGAAAGATCCTTGGGGAAGTTTGAAAGTCGAATCTCCCACTCGAAGGAAGGCGCCTCAAAGGGAAATTCCCCTTCGTTGCTATAGTCCTCCACAGGAGACGTGTTGGCACTGACTGCCTGTGGCTTGTCCAACTGCAAGAAATGACGAATGTGTTCGAGCTGAGAGTCAAAATGCACCGCCTTGGCGTAGGTGGGGGTACCCGGCATGCTAGATGGCCGCCGCCGTGCCGACGGAGGGCGAAGAGCTGGTCTCACAAGTTCTCCTGACTTCTTTCGCACCATAGGCTGCTTCCTCTGGGGCTCATCGTCCCTCTCACTCTCTTCCGGTGAGCTTGTCAAAGCTTCTTCATTCTTGTGGGAGATAGAGCTTTCGGTTACCGACCGAGAGTGTGAGATTTTGCGAGCCTCCTTGGTGAGTGGTGGACGAGAAGGCTCCTGCAGTGCCGTACTTGACGATGACTTCTCTCCTGCTGCTTCCCTTTCCGGAGAAGGCGTCCGTCGCTGCTCAATGGACCTCACAGCCGCCTCGAGTTCCTCCAGCTTCAGTGCATCCCGGTGCCGATGCGTCAACTCTTCATCACTTGAGTTAGGAGCCGACTCCGGTGGAGATATCACTGCCCCTGGAGGAATCATGGCATCGCTTATCGGAGGCGGGGATTGCCGGACACTAGCCAGAGTGTCGACAACATGGTTAGTCTTAAGAGGACGATTGTCAGCTGGTGGGAAGACAAAGGCCTTGTTGCTCGACGGGCTTCTTCTGTGCCTGCGAACATAAGCGGTAGATGAGTAGGAACGTGGGAGGTGCGGACGCCCAGCTTTAGAAGGGACGGTGGGTGGTGAGCTGGGACAAGAGTGAGAGAGGGGTTGAGAGTGTTCGATGTGCTGCGCAGAAGGCGACGACTTCAACGGCGCAGTGTATGGCATCCGGCCGGACTTGTGTGGCTAGACACAAGGTGCAGGCTGATGGTAGAGAGGTCTGAATGGAACAAGCTGAAGATACAGCGTGAAGAGAGCAACCTTGATCCACAGACGAAGAGATCAAAGGATGAGTCGTTCAAAGAAACGGCCCCTGTAAATACAATCTGACCGAGAGTTAGTCAGGAAGAATTGCCTTTGTCAAGACAGTATAAAATCAGGACAGTGGCAATGGCCTCTATCTGATGTGCAACCTCACACCAGAGGCAAATGACGGTGTCAAGCGGATAGGTTGTTGCCGAGATGAAATGATCTGGCTCAGTGAAGAAGAGAGAGGAACCAGACAGAAAATTGGGAGAGATTGGAGGTGAAAGGGCGTTTGCATTATCAGTAGAAGGAGCGTTGGAGCGCAGTCATGTCACTGTCCGGGACGAGAGAGGTAACGAAGGTATCACGGTACAAATCCTCGAGTGACACAAAAGAGGAATCAGGATAAAATAGGATTCGAGAAAAGGATCACCGCCATTCAACGTTTTCGGAAGATAGCGAAAGAAAAGGAAACATTGGCGAAAAGGTGTGTGTAGCATTGACATTGCACGATTGCGAGCTGCATGTACATACCTTGTGGACTCGACATCTAGCGGAGAGGCAAAAATGGTGAACAAGAGGACGGCCGGAAGTTGTAGGAAGGCAACTGGAGCAGATGGGAGGAACACAGGAACTTTAAAGTTTTACGGGGCCATGAAAAAAAGAACGAGGCGCAAACCGATAACGGACACCCCCAATGCTGTGTGAGGATAGGAAGGACAAGAATTAAGGTAGAGAGAAGAATGGCAAAGATAGATAGCGTAATGGAGGGGGAGGAAAGTATATGAGAGGCGAAGAAAGAATGAGTGATAATTGAAGAAGAGGGAGCCGCAGTAATAATAATAAAAGGTCCCAGTGTAGGCGCAATAAACAGGAATGACAGCAACTGATAAGAAGAGCAGATCCTCAGTCTACTAAGGTTAGATGTAGAACTACCACCTATGGTCCAGAAGAAAAAGAACCCAGAAAATCCGGTATCTAAAACATCAGCCTCTTGCGAACCAAAGAACTAATCAACATACGAATAGAAGTGGAGGCAAAATTGATTAAGGGGAGATGTCCTAAGCGTTCAGATTACAGTATGGAGTAGTAGCATTGCATCTTTTAGTTTGCTTTCTGATCTGCTT